AAAAAAAAAACCTCAGGCCTAGGTTTTCCTAGTACAGTTGTCTCCAGGAGATGGCTGGTGCTGATGGAAAGTAGTATTTGCCTCTTCATTAAGCCAGTCTTGCAGCTGTTTTGAGTTCTTTGCTTTCCTGTTTCAGGTGCCCCTTTCTGTAGTCAGACCCTCTCCTGTCTACTAATGTGCTCAGTCCCCTTTCTCTTAACAGACTTTTCCTTGACTCTGCCATCCCTGCTCTTGTAACTGACTTCCAAACGTTCCTTTTTGCTGAGGCTTAAATGTGTGGCGTGTGCAGATACTTCTGTTATCTGCTTCTTACTAACACTGTTCTCACAAAAGTTACTTCTCTTCCCTTGTCTGCTAGTTGTTGGGCCTTATTCTTTGTTCTCTCTTCACCTTGGTTGACCAATAACTCAGGCTTTTCCCTTCTTTTCACTTCTGTGGCATTCACAATGCCTGACTCTTTTACTTTCCTGTCTCCTAGTTTCTATTCCTACTCTTTCCAGATTTGTATCTTCTAGCTGTGTGTTTATTCTTTCCCTTGGCTTTAGTCTCTTTTGGGAAGAGGTAAGGAATTAAACTTTTGGTTCTTTTGATTAAAATTCTTTATTATGGATAAAAGTAGTTTGAAATAGAACTTTCTTATGGCAAAATAGAAAGGCAAATAGCAGCTGAAAGAGCAGGAGCTATTTAGCTCCAATTATTCTTGCCAAGAGGGAACGTGCACTCAGTGAAGCCACGTCTTCCAATTTTTCAAGAGAAGCTAGAAATCTGGACTTTTATGTATAATCTTCTGCTTTTAAAAAACTTGGAAGGTAATTAAAAAAAACAGCTTATTAAGATATACTTTATATACAATAGGAGTGTACAGGTTGAAGTTTTGACAAATATTTATACCTGTGTAATTACCACTATAATCAAGACATAGAATGTTTCTGTCACCTAAACAAAATTCCATTGTGCCCCTTTGCAGTAATTCCTCCCTTACCCTGGCTCCAGAGAACCATCGATTTGCTTTCTGTCACTATAGAGATTACTTTTGGCAACTAGATTCTAAATACCGTGCAGGCTAAACCTATGGAACAGATCTAGCCTTGACATGGGGATGAGAGGCACAGATTTAAGATACTTGCTGTATGTATAATCTTGACATGCAACTAAAACTGAAAGAAGTTTCCTTGTATACACATTTTTCTTTGAGTTTGCAGGTTTCAAGGACCCGCTCTGTTAACCTCCTAATGTAGTTTTAGTGTTCCCAACTGTTAGAAATACCAAAAGAGAATAATTATTTTGGTTAATCCCAAGGAGTCCTTCCCTTCAGTGTGCCCCGCCCCCCCCATACCCACTTTATTTTTATTTA